AGAGGAGGAGCAACTGGAGGGATAACAGAGGGAGTGTAGGGAGACTATACAAGCACCTCACTAGTATGGCACCCAGGTGCCACTTCCCTTCCCCCCTGCCCGCACCCTCTTCACTACACCACTGTACATAATCCACCTCTAAGAATATTTATTGTTTAATGAATTACTTATTTTACTAACTACAGACATATAAATTATAGAGTTTTGTGGTTTACATTCTGTTAAATTTTTTTTTCTCTAATTTGTTCATATCCTGTTCTCATTAGGTTCATGTCTTTTACATAAAAAATGTCAAATTCTTAAATATGTAAGTTTTATAAAACATGAGAAGTTAATGTTATACAACCTAGATATGAATTTCATCACTATATTTCATTCAAGTATTTAAAACACTGTTATAGCAAATGAGTAACACATTGCTTTAATGAATAAAAGTAAAAAAGATTTTGAGTATATCAAATTTATTGTAATAGAGAGGTAGCCATGTTAGTCGAATCTTGGTAAAACAAAAAGAAAAAAGTTATGTAGCACTTTAAAGACTAACACGATACTTAATACATTTATTATAAGTAATCTGTAATGTTTCCTAACTGCCCATTTACTTACCTACTTAATCTAATGGTTTTTCACATTATCGCACAGCAAAAAGTACACGAGAGTTATCAATGTAAGAGACTAACTTTCCTGTTAAAATAACACTTCAAAAAACTTTTAAATAAAACTAACATACAACACAGATCCTCGCTTTTTTGAAGGCACTTGAAGCAATCAGTAGCCTAAGGCTGAGGATACCCTGCAAGCGTGGCTTTCTGTCTGCCATGAGGACTTTTTCCTTAAGGCTGCCATGAGATTCTATCCTTAAGTAAAGGAGAGAGGTCTCTGAGCCTCTCTTCCAAATTTCACACAAGCCATTCAACTGAAGCCATAGTTATCAAGAATCAAGGCCAACTTTGCCTTGAGCAGACTGCCTCTCCAGGTGTTCACACTCACAGCATCCAAACATGTATAAGACTTTTAGTTGAGAAAGCCACGTTAATCCCAAGTCTCTGCTATAACTGGGAGATGGAAAATCGGCAACAAAAGTGGGGTGATCTATCACGTCAGTAATACCAACTCCTTTAGAATTGAGGCTCTGATTATCCAGCACCAGCTGAGGTAGAGCGGGCATTGTGTGCATGTCTGATACATTTTTACCAAAACTCTTGCCTGCCCAACTCACCAAAGGAGAAAGGAAACAGGGAGGCAAAAAGGAATGGAATAGTACAGAACCCTTTGTATAAGCTTCAGAGGGGTAGCTGAGTTAGTCTGTAACAGGAAAAACTTAAAAAACAAAACGGTCTAGTAGTACTTTAAAACCTAACAAAATATGTAGATCAGAAGTAGGCAAAAGGACCTCTATGGGTCAGATTTGGTCTGGGGAGGCCCTGCTGCTCCCCTGCCCCCAGGCCAATTAGGGCTCGGGGTGGGAGAGCACGTGAAGCTTTCTCTGCTCTGCCCCCACCCAGCGAGCAGCACACGGCACTTCCAAGCACCAAGTACTCCTTGCAAGGCAGGAGGAGGCTTCCCGCACTCCCCTGCCCTCAAGCCTTGATTGGCCTGGGGATGGGGGAGCGTACGAAGAGACATGGGTGCCTAGTGGGAAGGAGGAGGCAAAGGGACATCCCCTCCCCAGACCAATCATGGTCTGGGTAGCCCCACCCCTTCCTGTTTAGTCCCCTCCCTTTCTGCGGTCACTCAGGGCTACTTCAAAACTTTGTGAAGTGGCCCCCCATGGCAAAAATTATTGCCCATCCTTTATGTAGATGGTATCATGAGCTTTTGTGGGTGGAAGTGGGTTGTGCCCACAAAAGCTCATGATACCGTCTACATCAGGCATGTCAAACAGGCTTCTGGATGGCTGCATGTGGCCCATTCGAAATTTTTTGTGGCCTGCCACAAGTTTTTATAAAAGAATAAAGTGTGGCCCACTGGCCACTCAGAGCCCATGGCCGAGTGCAGACCACAGCTAGCTGGGCTGCTCTGCATAAGCATCAAATTCCTGCTCACAGCTGGCTGCTGTGCTCACACCTCCCCAGCGCCTGAGGAAGAAATGTGTGACGCCAGCAACACTGGCTCTGGGACCCAGGCATTAGGTATTGGGGGGGAGGGGCGGAGTGCCTGGGTGTGGGGGAGGAAGGAGGCATTGGGTTAGAGGGGGGTTCTCTGTGGGAACAGAGGGGAATTGGGTTAGAACGGGGATATGGGAATGCCTGGCTCTGGGGCAGTGGAGGGGGATATTTTGTTAATGTTTTGGTTTTTTTTATTTATTTCCAAATAAAATCACAAAATGTATATTAATGTTTTATCAAATATATGTTAATCTTTTGCAATTGCACCAATAATTATGTTTATGCAAAATCTCACACTTACAAAGTATCTGAAATTTTTACAGGAGCCTGTTCTATTTGATTGACCATGGTCTATACTTGTTTTTATTTCAACAAAACAAGTTATGTATCATATACAACATTTAAAGTACCTTAAATTTATATTTAAATTAAAAATTATTTTATGAGTAAATAACAATTTTACACATCAAATTATTGTACTATATTAAAACAAGACCTGAAAAAATATTATAAAATATACCTAAAACATAATCTATAATAATAAATAATAACAACTTTCCAATGGAAGTACATTTTCTTTGGTGTCCCTGAAAGCTATCAGTTTTCATTTGTGGCCCTCAGTGGGCTTCAAGTTTGACATGCCTGATCTCTGTTAGTCTTTAAAATGTAGCTGCAACCAGATTATTATTTTTTTAAGTTTTTCCTTTTGGAATAAAGTATCTTTTATTTAAAAAAATTATAAGTAACCCCAATGCCCCCACCTCTCCCACCAGAGCCAGCTCCTCACCAGCGTCCTCCCATCCCAATGCACTCACACAGAGCCAGCCCCCCCCAGTGCCCTATCC